GAACGCAACACACGCGAACCGAACCGAGACAAACAAACCGAACGGTTCGGACGGTTTTCATAAACCGTTCCATCCCTAATAAATATACCTAATACAGAGTGGGTTTACATAAAATGATTGTTGTGGTAAGAGCCTGTTTTTGAAAATGGATCGCATACATGCATTATACGCTGTTATCTAATTTGCAATGGGATGCAAAGTGACCTTTTTTAATGTAGTCTAGTAAAATAAATTAATAGTTAAATAGGAAACAAAGGGCAACATGAATGGAGCGAGGTGTTACGCTCACAGCTGGGAAGCGATAATTGAACAGTCATTTAAATAAGACAATACGCATTAAATCAAATGCCGTGTGTCCCAGGGACCTGGCATAATGACATGAAGGAAAAATGTCAGAAAATGCCTTCTCGTGAAAATTTGAGCGATCGTGGAGCGATTTCCCCAGAGCGGCAGGAAAATTAAGGTGAGCGCGAAGCGGATTTTGAGCCGAGTGTCCTGGCGCAACTTTAAGCGGCGGAGCAAATGAGCGAACATTCATTACAGTTCTCATTACATTTTGCGGTTTGTCATATTTTGGCCAAATCACTTCCTGGATTTAATAGTGAGGCCTTGTGAACAAGCACAGATTATGGGATGAATAAATATCACATTATTTCTTACTACATAAAATGACTGTTTTAGAATGTGGATCCAAAGAAATTCTTAAAACATTTATCTGTTTAATGTTTTAAAGTGGGTTTACATGACGCGCATCCGGTCAGGATTGTTTTGGATGACTCAGCTTTTTAGCGGCGTAGTCATGCAGATAATTGATCCGGGGGCTGAAGCTCCATTCTGCCAAGTTGTTTGCTGCCTCTGTGGATAAATAATTTAGAGGATGAAACCTGCCACCGCGTTGCATCTGTCGAGTTGGCTGTTACAGAGTCCTAAAATAGGCTTTTTATTTATTTTTTCCTTTGCAGATGTTGAAATTTGATGCTCAGCAACTACAAAAAAGCAGGCTGGCTGCAGGGTTAAACACCCTGGAGAGCAGAGGTCAGGTTCACCCCTGGTACTTTTACAGGAGTGTGTAGTTTATTTACATTTTGAACTCTCTATATATATTTGCAGTCAATCAATTGATTAACACTTATTTATTACAACTGGTTGCTTTTTAAATTTAACTTGATTGAAATTTCTGGTAAATTTAGCCAGGGGCGCCACCAGGAATTTGGTGCCCCATAAAAGACAATTCATATCCCAAAAAATTCAGAAAGTCAAATAGGGGTGTAAATCACATCCATCATGGCGAGTCGATTCATTATCGATTTCTTGACCCAACGATTCAATTATTTTAGATAATCAAGAATACACCATCTTCTTTTTTCTCCGCCATGTCTGTCTTGTTTACTGTTTACGCGACTGTGTGTGCACGCGGAAAGAGGGTAGTGGCTAATGGAAGCGAGGTAGGAGGGCAAAATAGGTTTAGCGCCACCGCAGCACAGGGGTCAGAATTACGTCCAGGAGCAAGTGGATAAAAAGAGACCAGAGGGAACAAAAACATGAATAGATACTCTTGCAGGCGTATTGATTCATTGGATCGTCTGCTGTTGGATCGATACAAAACGATTATCATTTACACCCCTAAAGTCAAGACAAATTAATGCAATAAAACACTGAAGTGAAACATCTACATGCTTGTTGTTAGCTCAGATAAAAAATAAAAAAAAGTATTAAAATCACAGCTCTGACTTAAAAAAAATGCTTATGTGTCGTTGAATGGATCGAGACATGATGTCCCGGATGTGCTCAATTGGATTCAGGTCTGGCGAACAGGCGGCCCAGTCCATAGCTTCAATGCCTTCATCTTACAGGAACTGCTGACTCACTCCAGCCACATGAGGTCTAGCATTGNTGCCTTCATCTTACAGGAACTGCTGACTCACTCCAGCCACATGAGGTCTAGCATTGTCCTGCATTAGGAGGAACCCAGGGCCAACGGCACCAGCATATGGTCTCAAAAGGGGTCTGAGGATTTCATCTCGGTACCTAATGACATTTCTTTGGAGGGCTGTGTGGGCCTTCATAGAAATTCCACCCACACCATTAGACCCACTAACACACCGGTCAAGCAGAAGGATGTTGCAGGCAGCAGATCGCTCTCCACTGTGTCTCCTGACTCTGTCATGTCTGTCACATGTGCCTAGTGTGAACCTGCTTGGCAATCCTGGTGTTCTCTGTGAAATGCCAAACATCCGGCATGGTGTTGGGTTGTGAGCATAACCCCATCTGTGGACATGGGACCCTCATACCATCCTCATGGAGTCGGTTTCTAACTGCTTGTGCAGACACATGCACATTGGTGGCCTGCTGAGGGTAATTTTGCAGGGCTCTGGCAGTGCTCCTCCTGTTCCCCTCCACATCTCCTTGTGCACTGGCCTGTTTCCTGGTAGTGCCTCCTTCTTGCTGCAGATCTCATTGATGTGTCATCCTGGATAAGCTGCACTACCTGGTCATTTGTGTGGGTTGTAGAGTCTGTTTCATGCTACCATGAGTATGGAAACAACACCACCAAAAAGTGACCAAAACATCAGCCAGAAATTATAGGTACGAAGAAGTGGTTTGTGGCCCCTACCTGCAGAAACCGTCCTTGATTGAGTGTGCTTTGCTAATTGTTAATAATTACCACCTATTGTCTATTGTATTGTCTATAATTGCACATTAACATTAGGGGTGTAAATCACTTCCATCATGGCGATTTGATTCATTATCGATTTCCTGACCCAAGGATTCGATTATTTTCGATACTCAAGAATACGCCATGATACGATTCGATTTAATTAATTGGTTCATTTATTTATTTATTTTTTTTTTACACGTTACAGGCTAGACAATGTTTCAAATTTGAAATGAATAAATGAAAGCTGTAATATCTTTATTTTTTGAGAAACAACAGCAAATAACAGAAGTAGAAAAGTTGCATCAAAAAATACTGTGCAAAATCAGTGCAATGAGTGCAATACCATACACTGCAAGACGTCCAGCCCCCCCTCACGATCTCCGCTCTCTTTGGCCCTCATGTCCCTCCGTCGTCGGACGAAACTCGCCCCCACTTCCTCGCCGCCTCAGCCGTATCTAGACCCACAGTGTGTAGCTCAGACCACGCTTCAATATTGAGCATAAATCAAAAATGTCTGTGTCAAGCTCATAGCAACACACTGCTGTAAGAGTATAACCAGGAAGCGAGGTAGGAGGGTGAAATAGGTTTAGCGCCACCGCAGCACGGGAGGGAGAATTACGCCCAGGAGCAAATGGATAAAAATAGACCGGAGG